ATTCACGTTTAAGAGGGCATTCACAATATATACCGAAGGAAAAAGAAAATACCAGAGGGGCAATAGGCAGCATTAGAACTCATCAGCATGATAATGTGGATATACACGTGCTTCAAGTGTGAGCCCTTGTGATCCGGCCAGACGATAAAACCTTATCAGTGGTGAACATCCACTTCCATTTTTAGTATTTGACATTAATTCAATCCAGCCTGTTCTTTCTCTCACACGAGCGCAGGAGAAGTAAGCATTTCATTATGGGCTGCCATTTTAAAAAAAGGCTAACTGTATTATCTAAAAATAAAGATCCAGGAAAATAAGCTTCACGGGGGAATTATTATTAGTATTGTTAATAATAACAACAATAATAATAATAATAATAATAATAATATTAATAATAATAATAAACAATAATGATAATTATTATAATCATCAAAATAATGTTAAACATTAAATATCTAAAAATATATATATTTTTTTTAAATGTTTCATATGTGCGTATGACGGCCTGAAGTAGAATGGCTAAAAGAAAAATAAATCCAATGACTGTAGGATCCTCGGATCCCACTGATTATAGCCCATCCTGGGGTAATTTTTCATCGGTGCTGGCTAATCTTTGTTCTTTGTGAAGATAATAAATAGCCTAATCGTTATCAGCGAGCTGCTGGAGGTGTCAGGGAGAATGTGTGTGTGGGGGGGGGGGGGGGGGGGGGGTGATCGGCCTGGGAAATAGGCTCCAAAGTGCCGCTGAATAAATGGCATTTCTTATCTGTCTCTACCAGATTATCGCCGCCTTTTCAAACTCACACGACAAATACATCTAATGCAGGGAATGCATCACTTACAGGACCAGATCTGCGTGCATGATTGAAAGATGGAAAGATAGAGGAGGAGGAGGAGGCTGCACGAGGTGTTGGCTATTATTTACACGTTTAATGTTCTGCATGTGCAAAGTCTTTATTCGGCGTATTTGACAGCATGGAGGCAGCTCTTGCCTTCCCATTATTATTTAGGTTATCTGCAAGAGCCATCTGAGGTTCCGCTTCTTTGTTGTAGTATCTTATTTCTTTAATCTGGGATTCGACTGGATAAGAGTGAAAGAGACGCGCAGGCCCCCATCCAGGGAAAATATATTTGAATGATATTTTCATATGTTAATGATTGTGTGAATGCGAACAACAATATTGTACCGAGGCTTTTTTCAAACAGGCCTTAATTAATGCCTGAAAGTCAAAGAGAGGCAGGCAGTCTGCTGAAGCCACGTTTTTTCTTTCATTTTTTTATTCCTTCATTTATTGACTTGATTCCTCATCTATCCAGAGAGAATATGTGTGTGTGTCTATCTATCTATCTATCTATCTATCTATCTATCTATCTATCTATCT